ATGAGAATTTTGAGTGGTTTCCTTAAAGCTTCTGTGTTTTCTACTTATTTGAAACACAGAAACAGATGTCCTGTCCAGTGGTGCAGCGGCCAGCTGCACACGGCACGTCAGGACTGCGTCAGGCAGGAGTCGGGAACAGAATCAGTCCCCGTCCCCTGTGGTTGACAGCGACCGGCCTGGCAGGGAGCGCCTCAGCACGAGGCCGAATGAGAGCGGAGCTGGGACCTGAGCCCAGGCGCTCTAGTGTGCGATGCAGGCATCCCACATGGTGGGTTTTTTCCTTTACTTTTAAAGATTTATTTATTTATTTACTTATTTGAAAGGCAGAGAGAGAGGTGTCTTCCATCCGCTGATGGCTGCAGTGGCCAGAGCTGTGCTGATCCGAAGCCAGGAGCCAGGAGCTTCTTCAGGTCTCCCATGAGGGTGCAGGGGCCCAAGCACAGGGCCATCTCCCACTGCTTTCCCAGGCCACAGCAGGGAGCTGGATTGCAAGTGGAGCAGCCGGGACTCCAACCAGCATCCGTATGGGATGCCGGTACTGCACGCGGCAGCTTTACCTGCCATGCCCCAATGTCTTAACTACTAAGCCAGATCCTCATCTTATTTCTTTTAAGTTCTTTATCAGTTGTTTAGAGTTCATCAGACATTAAAAGGTCAGAGGGTAGACTCACAAAACACGCCCCCCCTCCCCCGTACAGAAACGGCATCAACTGAACTACTTGCTGTTTCTGTGACCTGCCTTTTTTTTTTTTTTTTTTTGACAGGCAAAGTGGACAGTGAGAGAGAGAGACAGAGAGAAAGGTCTTCCTTTTTTTTGCCGTTGGTTCACCCTCCAATGGCCGCCACAGCCGGCGCATCGCGCTGACCGAAGCCAGGAGCCAGGTGCCTCTCCTGGTCTCCCATGCGGGTGCAGGGCCCAAAGACTTGGGCCATCCTCCGCTGCACTCCCAGGTCATAGCAGAGGGCTGGCCTGGAAGAGGGGCAACCGGGACAGAATCCGGCGCCCCGACTGGGACTAGAACCCGGTGTGCCAGCGCCGCAAGGCGGAGGATTAGCCTAGTGAGCCGCGGCGCCGGCCCCTACTGTCTTAATACTTTCTTTTTGCCAGTAATCCAGTACTGGCTTACACCACTATACTTAGGATGTGGCCACACTATAAAGAGTTCCTATACTAAGTGTACAGATGAGTACCTCAAGGACAAGCCTGACACCTTTTGTAGGCTGAAAGTTTCATATTACACAATTTTAAGCTTTCTTCTCATGTTTATAATCATGAGCATTTGTATTTTTATGTGATAC